CTGCCCCCTTTCCCTTTTTCAGCCACCTTCCCCCTGCGCGCCGCAGAATCACAGCGTCGTTCATGTGCGAAAAGACCTTTGCGGTCAAGACCATCAAATCCCGCCGCTGCCCCAGCGCTGCCAAGCCCACCGCGAAGCCGCGTCCCGAAGTACCACATCGGCACATCACTTAAATACCTCCAGGGATGCTGGCCCCACCACTCCCCAGGGCAATCTGTTCCAGTGCTTGACAGTCCTTTCTGTGAAGAATTTCTTTTTTATATCCTATCAAACCTGCCCTGTCGGAGGTTCAGGCTGTCTCCTCTTACTGCTTGTTCCCTGGGAGATGAGGCCGAAGCCCCACCTGGCTCCAGCCTCCTTTCAGGTAGTTGTAGAAATCCATAATCTCTCGTGAGCCTCCTTTTCTCCAGGCTTAACATCCCCAGTTCCTCATAAGACTTGTGCTCTACACCATTCAGCACCTTCACCGTCCTACTATAGACACTGCTTTCTCCATTCCTCCTTTTTTTAATTGACTTTTTCCTCCTCCTTTTTTTTTCCCCCATCCCTCTCCCTGCCAAAGCCTTTTAGCAAAGCAGACTGTGCCCAGCAGCCAAGTGGCAGCAGGGGCTCAACCACCCAGAGTGGTACAAAGGCTCTAGCAGCAAGGAATTAGTGGAAATGGGTTTTTTTGTACTCCAAAAAGTTGGTTGTTTTACAACCATATGCACGCTTTGGGTCTAACAGATGGCAATGAGCACGTTCCTTCCATGTTTTACTCTGGAGCTCAGTATCAAGGTAGAATTTGCAATAAGTTCAGTATCTACTGATTAGTAGTTGCTAGGACAGGTTAAACTTGTGTTCAAGGAGAGCTTTACATCAAATGTCCACTTGCTGCTGTTCCTTTCCCTTTATGGCCCTGGGCCTTCCCTTAAAATTCCAATGAAGTGCCTGGTTTGGTTCATCAAAGGTCTGTAAAATCATTTCCAAACTAAAGAACAGGGGCTCCACCTATAATCCTACACCAAAGCCTCTATGCATGCACCCCTTCCACCTGTTGTACATTATATGCAAAAAAAAGTTCATCTTATCTCCACATTAAAAAAAATACCAAAGAAATCTGACAGACCAAAAGAAAACAAAAACATATCAACAAAACTGGCAAGTATCAACCACTGTAAATTTTATCAAGTTATTTTATCAAGCAACAAATTTGGCCTATGGATCTTAATTTTCTTTCCTGTTATTCTTTTAATTTTAATACTTCCCTTTTTAGTACTTCATAACTGGTGTTGTCTTCTGCTTGCACTGATTTGCAAGTAGATTCAGTTGGCCAGCAATGGCAGGGAATGCTAATTCCATTTAGTTACCAGAAAAAAGCAATAAAAAAAATATGTTTCCCTAAGGCCTCAGCCCATAGTGATGAAAAATGCAGACCAACAAACATATTTTTGTTAAAATCAGTTTTATGTGTCCTGTCTTTTCCCACAGAAAAATAAAAATAGGAAAACCATCCACTAGGCAAATGGAAAGATAAATGATGGACCTTTCCCAGCTCCAGTAGTTTTATCCCAAATATATCCCCAAGCTGGGGAGAGAGTGACAGTGTGTACTCCAGAAGTGGGCAAGCCCTAATCACATTTCAGATGTGCCACATACAGCCATAGCTAAGATTATTTAAAGTTATGGGGTCAGTGACAGCAGCAGCTGCTTCTCCTGACCTCAAGGGAATCACAGTCCTGGGCTGACACAAACTCTTGTCCCTCCATTTCTCACTGGGCCTTACTGGGATATGGGTGGTTCTTGGAGCTGCTGCAAAGGGTTCCCAGTGATGAGCTGACCACTGGCAGGAGTGGGCTGCAGGGCCAGAGGGACATGCAGCACAGGCAAAGATAAAATAACTGCTCCTCTTACAGATTACTCTACTTATTTTCCCTGCCTTTAGAAAGGAACAGCTGCTACTCAGGTTTGCCAGCACCCAGAACTCAAAAACTGTGAGACTCAGAAATAGGATGATTGTCTGTAGAACAGTCTGATATCGAAGGGGGAAAAAAAAAAAGCCTCTTTTCATTTAGCCTATGATTGCTAAGTCTGCAGAGATCCTTTTTTTCAAGCTTTTTCCTTGGTCCTTGAGGAGCAGAGATCCACTCTTTTTCTCCCCCTACCCCTTTTTTAAATGAATGCTGGGATTCTAACATAATCAACTAATTCCAGGAGCTGAGGCTTCAAGATAAAAAGAAAAGTATACCATGTCACAAAGCTCACAATGCAATCTCATTGCATTGGCTTTGGCAGCGATTCACTTGGCTCTGGAAATAATAAAGTGGGAGACTGAAATGACAAACAAACCAGAGATCCAAACCCAAGTACCACCAGGGAATGCTAAGCAGATGGCCAGCAAAAGACCAGCCCAAGGAATTGCTCCAGTCTTTGCAGGAGGATTACTGACAGCATCCACCATGGTGGCCTCCTTCCTATGAGCTCTCCTGGCATAGATGGCATCTTGATGTCCTTGTGAAGAATTAAGAGGAATGAACAAGCTAAAAAGACCTCTCAAGTGCAAAACATTTGTGCACACTCTCATAGCAAATAGGGACATCCAAGGGCATTGGAGAACTCATGGAAGGGTCAGAACCAACACTACATTTCTGTGGCATTTTGGGTCTACCTTGGTTGAATTGTTTATTGAGCTATCACTAAGATATCAGCTGTGTGCTTTCAGCATGCTCCTATTGAAATCTCTGCTCCATTTTAGTACACCATAATATTATTTTTTCAAGAGAATTTCCTTAAAAGAAGTTGCAAAATTGTGTCTGTGCTAAGCAGGGGCTGGCACAATGGAAATTTTTTTGGGGGATGCCCCATAAGTATGCAAGTGTGAGCATATAAAACTTCATGTAGCATTTCATTTTCAGAAAGAGAAAAATCCATAAATTATATTGTCTTTTGTCATATCCAGTTTGCTTAGCAGATAAAACCACATGAACATCAACTGTGGCCATTTGAACCAAGAAATGTCATAAAACACCCTGCAGAGCTCCATCAAGACCAATCCTTTCTGCTTATCCTCATCAATACATGGGTTTACTGAAAAAGAAAACTGTTATTGTGGGACAGATTTCAGACTGCCAATCCCAGCAGATTCTCTGTGCTGCCAAGTAGGATTTGTTTTCAGTCTGTGTCCATCCCCAGCACTTAGCCAAGCTGACCTGTTCTCTTGTGTTTCTCAGCTGTTTTCTTCAATTTTTCACACTTCTTACCAGTCTAAAAATGCAGTGTTTAACATTGACTAAACTCTACATGCTTTCCTCACAGGGATCAGGATTTTGAACTTTGGACTCAATAGGAAAAGTTTTTGAACAAGCACCTGGAGATAAATCCTACCTACCATATTTGTGGGTGTTGCCCCATTACTGGGCAGTTTGAAATGAGCAGGATTTAATCATTTGGGGATGACAGTGAATTCCAGCCCCTCGTGCAGGAACACTGCACTCCCATCCCGCTCTCCCAGCCCGTCTGCTCACAGGCTGGTGCATCACTGGAGCACAGCCAGGCAACCATAGAAATGCACTGAGTGAATAAGGTCTTCCTTCCCTATCAGCTAATAAAGATAATTACAAAGGCCAGCATATATTCATTTGGGTTCAGTCCTTTTCCCACTCAAATTATTGTAGGTTTTGCCATTGATGCTGATTTTAGGAAAAGCTGGTGCAACAACAGGAACTAAAATTAGACCGTTTCTGCCATCCTCCCCATAACAGCCAAGGGGAGCTACTGGCCTGGCCAGGAATCAGCACTAACTCAAGGAACAGCCAGATATCCTGGGAATGGCTCTGCTGGGCTCCAACACCTTCTGCAGGAGCTCAGGCAGGGACACCCACCACAGTCCAAGTGCCACCTCCACCCCACAGCAGGGTGGGCTCACAGCCAGGCCCGCCGTGCTCGATCCTCTGCATTTGCCAAAACCAGCACTAAGTGAGGGCTGAGAAGGAGACACGCTGAGAAAATCCTTTTCCCCTTTTCCTTTTCCCCAGTCAGGGGATGGCAGCTGTTGGTGAGGATGCCCACACACGCTGACACTCGTGTGTGACACACGGCGCTGTCCTCAGACCCTCCCTGTGCGGGGCTGTCGGATTTTCATCCCCTCTCCACAACGCCAAACTTGCTCATTTTCAGTATTGGCAATGCCACTTGAAAAAGTCAGGGGAAATCCATCACAGCCCGAGAGGTTATTCTGTTGTAGCAAGCAGCCCTTGTACCTCATTTTTCAGCAGTGCAACTCAGCCCTTACAACTCCATTTCTGTGCTGCACAGAGGCAGTGGCTCAAAGCAAAGTCTGGGGGGCTTTTCTGCAGCCCAGCAGCTCAGGATGTCTATGCATAGGTGCAAATGTGGATATGCACATGTAGATATAATACACATACAGTTTACCTCCATAGTTTTCCTCTGAAAAGCAGTATTTTCCTTTTGGCCAGTTATCTACCCACAATATGCCTGAGGACAGAGACAGACATTTATCAGCAAGGCTGAAAAAATGAAAAACTTCCTTGGCCACACTTCCATGGAGCACACGCAGCACCCTGATTTGCACACACCTTGGAAATACAAGCAGTTCCTCTCTTCTCAAATTCTGCTGCTACAATAACTTTGCAGACAACTTTGCTTACTGGACTTGTTTCATGGTGGGAGTAACTACCAGCAATAGCTCGCCTGCTCCTCGGAGCAGAGTCACATGCTGGGATTGCTCATATGCCATTCAGATTCCCTAACAGAGAGAGAGAGAAAAAGGGAGGGGAAAAATCACAACTATTCCTAACAGAGACACATTCCCCTGTTGCCTCTGCCTCGACTGCAAATACTGGTACACTGATTTCTAACTGGTCAATCCCCACCCTGTTTCTATAAACACAGAAGACAACTCTTCATAACTAAACCAAACTCCCTGCCAAGGCAAGCTTCTCACAGGAGAAAAAAAATAAAAGAAGGAATGGCAGATTAAACAGATCAGCTCTGATTCTTACCTTCAGAAGCAGACTTTGTTCAAAGCCCACAAATACTTTTACTTTGCTGTAAGTCTGAGCTATTTTTAGGTTCCCTCTGGGATGCCATATAGGGAGAGCAGCCCCCTCCTATCATTACTAATCTGCCGAACATAACAGCAGGACACCTGCTGCTGGTGAGTCATGTTCTGTGTGGAGCTAATGGTATATATATAGGCAAAACATAAAGACAATTGCTTATTTCCCTACCTACCCCATGTGTTGTTTGTTGCTCTAAGCAAATCAAATCATTGCAATGAAGACACTGTAAAGAAGACAAATACACAGGAAAATTCATGTTCAGTTTCAGACCAGAAGCTCTACAAGTGCACAGCAGAATGATGCTTGTTTGTATTTGTGGTGTGTATACGTGTGTGTACACATCTGTGCACTTTTGCACGTGCACGAAGTGATTGTGCTTTTAGAAGCTCCTGCTCTGGTACAGGCAAACCACTGTTTTCCCTGAAATCAGAAATGGAAAAATTCAATTGCTCAAATTCTAAAGCTCCATCTCCAACCTGTCTTCCCTTACTTATTCACAGCAAAAGAGAATGAGCATGGAAAAGGGGCATATGTAGGAAAAACTCAGGTTTCTGACCTGCCAGCATGGAGAAACCTTCCACTTATTCCTGATATAAGCTTTCAGATAGGAGGCAGAAGTAGCTTTGTGGTTGTAGAGTGGCTGTTAAACATCAGCTCTGTTCCCCTGTGTTGGCTTCACAGCCTTTATTTGCAGTGACAAACAGATCTGCAGGACAGCCCCTGCTCTGTGCTGGGAGCCTGATTTAGCTCTGGCCCTCAAGCCATGCATTTCACTGTTATGGGCTTCACTTCTAAATTTTTGAGAGCTGCAGTAAAGTGCTGCTAGGTTTGGCTTTGTGATCTCTTTTATTCCTTCCTCCCCTCTCTCTGTCCTGTATTATTATTTTCTAAATGTGAACTTTTTGTTGCTCCTGTCTTTGGAGAAAGCACTGGCATAATCTCCTGCCTTGGGCAATATTCCATTTGTGGTGGATACACACCATTCCTAACCTCAATTCCTATCCTCAAATTTTACATCATTGTCTTATTAAAGACAATGCTAAAATGTTCACTGATCAGTAGAAATAGGGTGGACACATAGAAGGTGTTGCAATACCTCATAACAACTTGAAAAAGTCACATCCAGAATCAGCATGAAGCATTGCAAGCTACACCCTGACTGACACAACCACCTAAACTTTTATCTTCTCTCCCAAAGTATTAAATGGAAAAATTCCTGTAGGTTTATAAAACCATCATATTCAGCATACTGCAGGAGAATGGCTTTTAAATACATATAGAGAAGATATTTCTGTTCCCAGAGAACTGTATAGATTTTGAAACACATTTCTTTAGGACCTTGCTTCCCCTGCCCCATCTCCTTCTCCTGTTGAACTGGGTGAGTGATGGTAGAAACAAAAATACTCTCCCAGCCTGCCAAGTTACCCTTCTCCAAGAGAGGCTGGACTAGGCAGCAACAAATGGTCAAATTTTACTTCTTTGAGCAGTGTAGGAACATATGCTGCATAAAATCCCTCAAGAGATTAATGAAGATACTAAAACATTGCATTTATATACGTTTTAGGCTCTCTAGATAGAGTTCAGATATATCTTTCAAACTCAGTAATTTCAAATAACCTCTGGCAGATCAACACTTAAAAACAACCATCAATCAAATCCTGAATGTTTGGGGAAAGACAACGTGCCCCAAATACCAACCCTGAGTCCTGCCACCAAATAAATGTATAAAGGAAGCAAAGCACAGGTCCTTTCCTTTCTGCACCAGCTGCTTCTCTGGGTTCTGCTGCAGCAGAAGCAGCAGATCTCAGGCAGACAGACCCTGCAGCATCCCTGTTTTCCTCAGGGCTGTGCCCATGACCCACGGGCTCTGTGATCCTCTATCCTCCCCTAGTGACCAGAGCACGCTGAGGGTACTGAACCAGCTGAGCTGCTGCATCCCAGCGCCAGCAGCTGATCTGGCTTTGTGCTTCTGGCTTTGTCCTCTCTGGTGCCAAAAACCAACCCAATCCCCCCTTCTCACCTGCCTTCATCTCAGAAGGACAGAAGTAGCCAGCTGTAGTGGGGAGAGTGAGGGGCTGAGCTCTCCCCTGCCATTTCTCCTACAACAGCCTGAGAGTGCCATCCACATATCAACTAACACAGCACCTTTATCTGTCTGCTAAACAGAAAAGTAGAAGCATAAGGGGGAAGGAAAAAAAAAATCCCAAACCCCTTGGCATGTCTGCCTTGAATCCCAATTGGAAAAGAGTTGTTTGCCTTAATTCTAAATGTATTTAGAATGTGGAGCATATATTTCCAAAGGATGTTTTGTATTTACAGCGTGTCTGCCTGGTTATACTGCTGCAATGTAATTGTTTTCCTGCTGAGAATTATAGCAGGGAAGTTACTCTGGGTACAATTACAGCTCTTTATAGTTCTGCTTTGGAATTTAGAGGCTTCTGTGCACCACTCCCTCCTCCCTGCTTAGAGGCACTGGCCTTGGAGCACCTTGTGACACTGCAAGCGACGTGACATGTGGATGCATTTGGGGTTTAGTTGCTAGAAATGAGTAAGTCACTGCAGGAATGGAACAAGGAAAAATCTGTAACAAATCCCCTATGTTGAGGCTGGAGCTGGGTCAATCTAAGACAAAACTTTTCTTCATCTCTGCCTGGGGGAGAGAAAAGGCAGCAATTTCTACCTGGCAGGGATTTGGGAGTGAGAGCACTACAGAATTTGTATCCAAAAGTTTGTTGGTTTGTTTGGGTTTTTTGGTTTGGTTTTTGGTTTTGTTTTGGTTTTGGTTTTGGGTTTTTTTGGGATAAAAAGGGGTTATGTTCAGGGTGGATAACAGCTGAGGAGCAGGGAGACATGCACTCCTGAGAACAGGCACAGCACAAGGTCAGCTTTAATATCTGACACAGCGGCTTGCACCACGGGTAAGATACAGCTGGGCCAAGCTGGGGTCAGTTCATTCACTACTGCCTGATGGGAAACACTTCTTGACACATTTCATAACTGTAGTTGTTCTTTTGCCTCCAAATCTTTAAGGCTAGATGCTGGAATCAGATTTGCACCATCAATCTCCTCCTTCTATCAAACCCTTGCCTGCTGCTGCTGATCCTCCCGAGCAGAGAGCAGAGTCCCACCCAATACAGCCTCGAGATTAGTCCAGCACAAACCATGTGGGTGGATGGCAGTGGAGCAATTCCAGCACCTGAAGAACCCTGGCAAGGCTCTGCACTCTGGGGCAGCCCTGCTGCTCTCCTGCCCAGATGCTGCAGCTGCAGGAACAAATGTCCTCCTTTGTGGAGCAGCACCGTGTGTTTCGGAACAAAATGTCAATGAGCTTTCCAGATTAAAACATTAAAAATGTATGAACAACAACTGTCGCACACAGGAAGCTAATATCAGTGGGAGAGCTTTTTCTTCTGAGACTGGGACAGGCTGTTTTCAATATCACTGTGTTCATCTCCAGCTACAGTGTCACCAAGTTGTACACCAGGAACTCATTAGATCTTCCTTTGACCTTATAACAGACCAGTGTATTGTACTCAACTATTTCTAATCGAACAGAGCTGTAAGTCCCAAAAAAGTCAATAGCGGAGAATAGCAGCAGGTCTTACTCTAGAGCCATCAAAAAGCAAAGAATTTTCTTATTTTGTTCTCTTGATTATACACTCTAATGACTAAAATCACCTCCCAGTTAAAATAAAACAAACCCCAAAAAACTCTCACCAACCCCACACCTCATTTAACTATATCTGTTTCAGCTTTCAGAGATGGGCTTTTCTTTTATTTTTCGCTCCTTTTAGGACAGAGTTATTTTCTTCCCAGAATAGACTCATGCACCCAAAAAAAAAATCACCTTAGACCATTTTTTTGGTCTATGAAACACACTGAACCTTTCAGTTCTCCTACTGTAAAGCATTTCATCATACCCTCAAATAATTTTAACTTTTCTTTCCTACCCACTTTCCAACTTTTTTCACATCCTTACAAAGTTTTGACTCAATATTTTGCTACTTGAGACCTGGTTTTAGTGGCGCTGCAATAAAAGTTAAAATCACCTCTTTTCCTGTTATTCAGTACTCCCTTGTTTATATATTTAAAGGCCACATAAATCCCCTTTGTCAGGCCATTGCAGCAGAAGGGATGTGCAGAGGCTTCTTGGATCACTGCTCCCTTCATCCCATGAGCACTCCCCGTGCTCCAGCCTGCAGGGCTGTGCCTTACACAGACCAACATGGGCCTGAGGGGTTCCTCATCCCCTTTACCAAAAACTTCACCTTCCCCAGCCTCCTTTCCTCTTCACTGCCTACCATTCGCTAGTTCTTAGCACTTTGCAAAAACTTTTCATTCTTTCATTTTTCATTTTTTCATTTTTTCATTTTGCAAAACTTTTCACTTTGTGTTTTGCTATAGACCATTGATACAAACAACAGAGAGTTTTGTTACTTAACCCTAATGTGTCCCAGAAACCAAAGGTCCATTGAGTCCTGATTCCCCAACAACAGCTACTCCTTGAGCTCTGCCAGCCACTTCGTTATCCATTTAATGCATATTCTAATGTTACTGAATGGTGCTAATGTTTAATCAGCACGCCATTCACTGCCAAGTCAAACACCTCACAAAGTCTAAATGCACTAAATTTGTACGATCATTTTTGTCTACCAGACTCATAATATAATCAAAGAGTAAAAATTAGGTGTCTTTGATAAAGTTTGCCACAAAACCGTGTTGTTTAGACTACTTGCTAATTTACTTTTGCATCAGCTTCTGAATTATTTAACACAAAATGATTGCGAGCTAACCAGCCTTGAGTCTTTGGAAATGCTTCCTCATAAAAACATTCTCTTGGAAATCAATATAGACACATTTCATACCACCCTGTGAGCATTAACTCAGTCAGAAGGAAACTCTTTACTTCCAGGGAGACAGGACTGAATTCACTCCCTTTTGGAAGGTTTCACAGGTAAATTGGGCT